TGTGTGTGTGTGTGTGTGTGTGTGTGTGTGTGTGTGTGTGTGTGTGTGTGTGTGAGCTCAAAATAGAATGACATGCACATGCAAAATATTCTTCATGCATTTGTAATGAACAAGATACCTCTAAGTGCCTCTTTCTTTCTCTGCTCTGGCTGAGAAGATAATTCCCAAACAGCCATCTCTGCGCCCCCCACCCCCCACCATCATATGCCACTTGTTTTCCTCGCCAATTGAATCCTCGTCAGAGACTCAGCTCTCCACTCGGGGGCTAATGCCTGGAGCGACAAACAGCCAAATGGCTTTCAACGCACCATTGACAGGGGGGGGGGGCAGGCAATGGAGAGAGAGAGAGGGAGGCAGAGAGACTGAGAGCCTCTCCAAACTCTGGTGCTACTAGACAACCCTGAGTACCTGTAATTGTGGAGCTGCAGTGAAAAGCTTCTGCCGGCTCAAAGGCTTCTGTTTTTCAGTGGCTTTAAGTGACAGTAAACTCTTTCCAGTGCCCGTCTCTGCCACTAAAAGCACTGTGGAAAATAGTGCCTGCAAAGTAAAGTGGGAATCGTTACGAGCGCTGCAAGTCATTGGATTTGTTATCAATGTGTGCAGGTTTTTTGTTGTTGTTGTTTTTTATTTTAACCCTTTAGAATGGCTGGCTGTCAAAAAGACGTGCAGATATGCCATCTGCCTGTTTTGCTCTCCTTAACGCATGAACTCTGTCTGAACAGAGCTGAGTGACTAAATACGACACGGAAGGATGAGATGTAGCTGACAGCATCAGCGATTCGGTTGAGGGGTTTACAGTCACAGGTTGACATGTGAGCCGTGTTTGCCCTCATGATCTCTTAAATCGACGCTCCTGTGTGACACTGCAATAGATTGGGCCCAGAAAGTACAACAGAAATGGATGCAAAGGAAGTCTGCTCCATTGTTTTATTTCCTGGCTCCAAAGTAATATTTAAAGTCGAGGAGGGGTGGGGGGTATTTCAGAGGAAGCCATGGGTTTTGGGAATATTTAAGTAGCTCAGCTCTCAAAGCACCTGGTGCTTCAGCTCATGTTTCAGAATGAATTGTTGAGAGAAATCTGTGTTTTTTAGCACAGTACTAAACAACTCAAAAAAAAAGAAAAGGTGCACCTGAATTCAGTGAATTTTATTTATTTATTTTTTGGCTTAAAAGTGGTGGCTCTGAAGTGGTGATTTGCACCGAACAAATGGATGCCTTTCTGTGTGAGGGAGGGTTTGTATGGTGGTTGCTCTAATAGCCGAGTGTATCAGCACACCGTCGTTTCTACAGGCCCCATGTTGCTCCCCTTGCAGCCATTTCCAGAGAAGTGGTGTGATACTGAAACACTCTCACCCTACCCATGTGTCATTGTATCCAGCCTCCGCTAATGATGATGGTTTATGGGTCTCCGAAGAACCCCACCACCATCACCACCCCCATTTCCAGTCTCCCAGTTATCCCTCATTAATTTCCCGTGCTGATCAGATCGACAGGCCGAAAATTCAATTTAATGACCTGCCTCTGTGCTGCGCCTAATATGATTTTACAGGCTGTTCTGGTCAGAGCCCCAGCCCAATTTACATAACGATCAGCCGTGCCAGATAGTGTTGCCCCAGCAACAGAAGAGGGGGGAGATGAGAGGAAGAGGAAGGAGGGAGGGCAGAGAGAGTAGTGGAGATTAGCGTGAAGGGGTGCGAAGAAGCGTTTGGAGGAGGAAGGAGGGGAGAAAGCACAGTGCGTCTGAGGTCAGACGGGGGTTGTGAGATAATTCCTGACAGGCCAGCAAAGGTCTCTCTCCTCCTCTTCTCTCCCTCTTTTCCCGTTTCTCCCCCCTCCTTCAGAATGAAAAGAGTGACTCAGAGGCTGTGCAGAAAGCTACTGGCACCTCCTCCCTCCCCCCCCTTTCACAGTCAAACAAGGTTAAGGGAGAAAATGAGTGAAGTGCAGCATCGTATAAAACGGCGGGAAGGACCTCTTCAGCCCACACACACCTGCTGGGCCTCCACCCCTAATCTCTCAGAATCAATTAGTTCACCTCCCCCGGTCCAGTCAAACCACATTACCTTAGTGTCACATCAGAGGGTTTCACTTCACCATTCATCACCCCCACACACACCCCACCACTTCTCTTTTATTCTGCTTTCTACTTTTGTGTTCCTCTCATATGCATCTTCCTCATCTCTTTCTATGGAAAGTGCAGATTCAAAAAAAAAAAAAGGAAATGGGCTTGGGCAAAATGTCTAGGGACCTTCAAGTGCGGTAGGCGGGCAGCACAGCATATCCATTTGACCAAATGCAGCACTGTAAAGTGCTCCATGTATGGCGAGCCCTCCAGTATCAGCTTACTCTGCCAGCTAATATTCTGTGGTCGATACCAAAGATGCCTCTGATAGATAGGGCCAGAGTTAACCTGTCTGCTTCAGCACGCCCTACCCCCCTCTGTATGGGCCGTAATTATGAAGTATGGACCTCATTAGGCTTTCTCCAGCCAGATGGTATTAGCATATTTCAGGCCTTAATGAAATAAGGCCTGAGCCTAATGGAGGCAGGAGAAAGGGGGAAGCAAATTTGTTCTAAGGCGGTCCCAGTTTAGTTAAGAAATACATGGTGTGTCCGGATGAACACTGCAACATTTAGTGCTATCTTATTGACTATTCTGTTGTCTGAGGCAGGCAGTATGCTGGAAGGATGTCATTCTAATCATTTCTGTCTCTTCTCCTACAGACTGAGATTGCCAAGCGCCTCAATGCAATTCTGGCTCAGATCATGCCATTCTTGTCACAAGAGGTGAGTGTCAACCCAGCCAGCAGCATTTCAGGGATGAGACTGAGACTCATTTGTTTCACATTCTGCTGTTACTGTAGTTGTGACGATGACTCTTGTGCAGATAATCTCTGGGGAACAACAGATGATTCACTGCACATAACAATGAGGAAACCCTTTTTTTTTTCCCCTTCTTTTTTTTAAATTGACAGTTTTAGCCCACTAAATAATGTATTTGACTCAAACTTCAAACAACTACTGACCACTTCTAAAAATATCGCCCCTTTTCGAGCTCATCCTGTCAACATTGAACAAATAGTCAAACATAAACACATAAATCAGTTCGTCTGAAGGAACTGGCTTTCCTGGAAAACTGAGATGAGAATTAATGCGCAAGGAAATGAAATGAAAGCAAACCTTCAAACGCCTCAAGCAGCAAACCTCCAGACAATAGATTTCATTTTCAGTGTTCCTTTGATTCACTCTGACCTGCATTTCTATAATACATAAAACACATATAATACAGAGCATTTTTTTTATGTCTTGTTTTACCTAACAGAAGATTCTCCTATTATGTTGAGGGCTATGTAGTACATTGATGTGTTGTTTTATTGACGATAAGTGCCATTAAATGACTATCGTGCATTATGGAGGCCCCCCAAGCTTAAGTGTCTACTTGTCTAGATGAACCATCAGGCGGGGAAATATTCTTCTCCATCAGTGATCTAATCTTTGTTTATGTGTCCTGCAGCATCAACAGCAGGTGGCTCAGGCTGTTGAACGGGCCAAGCAGGTGACAATGACTGAGCTGAATGCTATCATCGGGGTACGTGGACTTCCCAATCTGCCTCTGACTGTGTGTATATCCCCTCTTCTTCCTTCATTTGACCCGAGACCAGATGCAAAACTGCATACGTGAAGGAGGACCAGCATTCAGAGATATGTAGATTATTGAAGCGTGCTACATTTCGCTCACGGGTGTATTTGACCTTTCTAAGGTTTGGCCGAAGTGTCGCATGTCAAGAATAACCGGGGAAAAGGGCAATAGATTCACAGGGGAAATGGGGGTGAAAAGGGGATAAAAGTAGCTTAGCGTATTAATCTGCAGCAATTTTCTTTCACCCGTCTGTGGCATTTGAGTTTTTAGACTGAATACAAACTAGTAACACCATGTCCTCTTCACTTGTGCAGACTTGCCCTGGTCTCAAGTGGTTTATTATGTTTTTATTTGAGTTGACAATGTTTGCAATGTGCTGTCAGTATGGCGTTTTTTTTCGCTGTAATTTCTGATTGTTGGTTAACCATGACCCGTCAGCACCCAGGTTGCAGCTCCGCTCTGATTTTCCTCCTCTCAGCCAGAGTCAAAGAACATCTGATATATAGTAACACAGTCCAGACTGGGAGATCAGATCATGGTGTTTCTCAGATTTCACTTTGGCTGCACTTTAATTAGATAAAAGGACCCAGCCAACAGGCTTACCCCTACCTCTGACCCAATAGCTCGAGGAATTAAGAGTGGTCAGGTCAGGACAAGCCATTGTGATTACAACAGAGATTGCATGAACTTAGCAGGTACTAAGCATTTGAAAGGTGTAGTGGATAAAAGATTTGGGCAGTTGTGGAAGAATAGGGAGAACAGGAACATCTTTTTTTTTCCTCCTCCCTACTGTTTACTACATTGTTCCCTGATGGTTGACACAGCTTCTATAATTAAGTCATGTTATTTAACAAGCTTAAGTTAGCTATTTCTGTTGTTGCTATGGGTAAAAAGTGCAACAAGTTTGTTTGTTTGTTTGTTTATTGTCATCGTAATTCAAAGTTTTCATTTCAGGCGTTATTTGTTACAATCCAATATTTAATGGAGCAAATGATTGGAACAAGCTGCAACAATGTTTTGCTTTTAATTCTTTAAAAACGTAAGCAGAACTAAATTGTTTATTTGTAAAGCTGTTAATATGAACAGTAGGCGAATAAATCACATTGGTTAACTTAACAGTTGGAGCTTATTTCTTTAAAAAAATCAAATAAAAATCCCAGATGTTTAAATCTAGCAGACAGTACAGGGAAACTCTTTCCCCAAAAAATCCACTCTGAAATATAGCCTGTGCACTGCCCGGATCTTGCATTTGCTTTACTTAAAAACATACACACGTATTTGGTTTTGATAGTCAGGTTACATAGTGATAGGAGGCTGTCGACTTAGCAGCAGATTTTAAAATTCGGTTTAGCTCAATGAGCCAGGAGCCGAGGGTAATTACCCACTATTTGCGCTTCTATGTTTTTTTTATTTTTCCCAACGAAGTCCTTCCAACAACAGGAGTTGACCCTGCCTTCATTAAAGATAGGCAGGGCTAGCCTGAAACACACACACACACACACACACACACACACACACACACACACACACACACACACACACACACAATAATACACTCAGGAAAACAGGCTTAATTATAGGGTTGAAAAGATGGCAGGTGATCAATCTCCATGTCCCCACAGGGTGGGTGAGGCAGTGATGCTCTAGTGTCTCAACATTAGAGCCTCAGAGACATCAAACTCAGGGAGTGTTCACCTCAGTTGGATCAGAAAGTGCATTTGAGACATGCATAAGTTAGAGGTTTGCCCTGCAGGCACCACCTGCTGTACTGTCAGGTTGTCATGTAAAGACAACCTGACTAAAGAATCCATACACACATACTGTATGGAGTACGTAACACAACCACCCCACCCTCTCTTAATAGCTGTTAGTGACTGAGGCCAAAAACAGTTTTTCTTTCAATGTGGGCCTCACTCATCAAAACAAATCTGTTAGGTAACATTATGCCTTAGGAAAGCTGATCGGTCAATTTTCTAGCTGGTTTGGTAGTGTAGTTTATTAAAAGTTGTTTCTAAATAAAAGGGCTAAAAATAATTAGATTAGCATAATTTTTACAGCATCATAAGGCTGGTCTCTACTGGTCTCTTCCCTGTTTTGCATGAGTTTTTGGCCAGAAGCAGCGTATGATTGAGTCTGATTTGACAAGTGTCAGAGGTGCAGACTCATTTCCATGTTCCTACCCTCATTCCCATGAATTTGACACAGGGCGAGATTGTAGTTGGGATAATGGTTAACACGTCAGTTACAGCCGGTGTGCTCCTTATCACGTATCATGTAAATGCTAATCCGCGGACCACGACATAAACCTTCACAGCGTCAAGTTTTGCTGTTGTCACTCCAGTAACAGCGATCTCCTCTCCTTTGCATGTTTTATTTGGCTATGCGTATGTCTATTATTACAGAGTAAGAGTGTCTACATTTACATAGTGTGACTACAGTGTCCAAATTTACACATGCTTTGACTTAACATCTCACAAAAGCCGGTGATGTCTTTATCCGATTTGAATTCATCACTTGGGGCTTTTTGTCAATTTAATGAGGAAAAATAAATGATTGTATTAAAAATAGCCATCAGGTGCAGCCCTACCTCTGAATCTCTGCTCTCTCCTCTGACCCAGCACCTGCACCCGCCTCGTGGCGTCTACCCAGCCTTCACGGTCAGTGTTGAGAGGAGGGTTTTGAATGATTAGCTTGCAATGAAATGTCTGTTTTTTGTGAAGGGAAATGATGCCTTTTGGAGACAAAGGACAGCTTGGGGCGTGTCGGGTTATTTTTGGTCTCTACTCTGCCCGACTCTGGTGTTGTGCATTTGACAGAACGTTATCTCTTTATTCGACGACTAACCTCAGAAATGTTACCCCCGTTCTTCCACTGCTGTATTCTGCTTCAAACATAGGTTGTAATCCAAATCTTAGAGTCTTTGTTGTGACGACCGAAGAAGATACGATGAGCTCGAAACTGTTGTAAAGCACAGAATAAGTGGGTAATGTGGCGATCATTGCCAGACTTATTAAGCCAGGGTGCCAGCTGGTTTGTGCTGGTGCTGTTGATGCTTGTTCCACCTGACAGTACTGTTCTGCAGGGAGCCAGCTTCGCCTAGTTAACTTTAATTGCCTGTTTCCTGTGGAAGTTGCCTGAGCTGCTGCGGCATTTACACATAATGAAAAAAGATAAGTGTGAAAGGAAGCCAGCTCTTTATCCATGAATATTGAATTGGAGGCAATTTATTTTCTGAATTTTTTTTTCCCCCCTCTTTTTTCTCTCTTCTCTCTCGCTCTGCACCTCACGACTCCCTTCCCTCGTCTCTCCTCCTCCTCCTCAGCCATAGCTCGCTAATGAGGCTTCTTGATAATGATCCCTGCACGCTTTTCCTCATTAGGCACACTCAATAGGGACGTCCCTGCCTCAATCCCTCGCTCACTCTCTTTCATTCTCTTGTTATTTTCTGATTCTGCCTCTCCCTCCTTTTCTTGTTCTGGCTGCCCCTTCCTCTCTCTCTCGTTTTTTCTTTTCCCCCTTCTCACTTTTTCCCTTTTTTCACAACAAATAGGCTGCTCGGCAAAGCAGTACAATATCGATTAACAATGCCACCCCTCAGTTGCTTATATCCATTGTACGATTTCAGGTCCAGCTCGGCATAATGAGCTGACTGAATAATGGCCAACTGCTAAATAAGCCTTTAAATGTGGGAAGTCACTAGATATACCCTTGTCTAGTTTCTCCATTTTATGTAATGAATGTATGGATGAGCTTATTGAAGTTCTGTCTAGCAAGCAGAATAGCAATCATGTGTTTTTTTTCCCTTTTTGGAGAGGCAGTTGATGGATGTGCTAAGTGTTATTTAACCTTGTTTTAAAGCACTTGCTTCCCTCTTGCCTGAGTGGCTATTTAACTCCTGTCTATCTACTCTCTCCTCTCTGGTTGCCTCTCTCACAGACACATTCAGGGCGTCATGGGAGGCGTGTGTGTTCTCCGCCGTCTCTGCTTAACAGCATTTTGCTGAAGGAGTGCATGCTTGCTTGGTTTTCCAGAGTGTTGAAAGGTTTTGAGGTTTTCAAGTGTAGACCTATTGATTTTTTTTTTTTTTTTAAACTGTCCCGGCTATGATTGAAGCACAGCGGTTTGGGAGTGAACAAAAGCGTTGTATCGTTTTTGGCGACCACAGGTGATGCGTTATTGAGTCAAACACAGTTGTCAGATAAAGGTCACGTACCATCAAACAATGAGCAATTTGTAAAGCTTGCAGTGATAAGCGTATCAGTGTGGTAATGAGTGCAGAGCGTGATTTTTAAAAAGAGAACCAGACGTGTAGAACAAACGTGAGGTCGGGGTCCTTTCAGAGGAGGAACATTATGAGTCATCTGTGTGCAAACTCTGCACGGGTTTGCTAACTTTTACATCGCTGGTGAAACAGCCTTTTTGGGGCAGTTTGCAATTCAAGTGTTGCTCAAGCCTCAAATGGTAAATACCATGTGGCTGCAGCTCCTCCTTGTTCTGATTTGCTTTCTTTAATAGGAATTTAAATTGAATATCTTTATACTCAAACACCTGTCAGTTTTTCTGGGAAGTAGTGATTGGTATTTCACACTTTCCTGGTGGAGCTGGATCCACATGTTGGCGGAGACTTGCAGGCAGCTATTACGCATAAACTGTTTGGCTTTCAACTGAATGTCGTCAAAGCCAGCTCTAATGCAGCAGAGTGTGTTCATTCATGATTCCACTTCCCAGCCGACCCACTTGTCCTCTGTCGTGTCTCCCGTCTCTCTGCGTTTGTTTGCAGCAGCAGCAGCTTCAGGCTCAGCACCTCTCTCACGCTGCCCACGGTCCCCCGGTCCAACTGCCCCCTCACCCTTCAGGCCTGCAGCCGCCCGGCATCCCCCCCGTGACGGGCGCTGGCTCCGGCCTGCTGGCTCTAGGCGCTCTTGGCAGCCAAGCCCACCTGCCTGTGAAGGATGAGAAGAACCACCACGACCTGGAGCACCGAGGTGAGGAGCAAAGCCTGTCACACACAAACAAACATGCTGCCTATGGCATTTTAGGGATGATGGCTAACTGTAGCTGCCAAGCACTGCTTTCTCCAGCCAAATATATTAATGAGTGAAACACATCAATATAGGTTTTTAAATGTTTTTGTACCAAATGCTTGTGTGACAAAGTTTTTTTTATATTAGATTTTAGATGTTGTTCTTGTCAATCCCTTGATATGTCAGCATGAAAATAGTTTATTCTGACACAAGACAACATAAGTTGTAATCATTCCTTTACCATTAGTATTAAGGCTTTAAAAGCCATTAACATATCAGCAATTGAGGTATCAGGTTAATAATTGTTGATCTTAAATATGAAAATTAAACGTGTTTTCCAAGTGGTATCAAAATCAATACTGCTGAGTTGCTGATATGAGTAATCCTGGTGACACCCATACTAATTTGTGTTTTGCTTTTCTCTCTCCTGGCCCCTCATCTTTTCACTCGCCCCTGGCCATTCCTCTGAAAGAACGCGAGTCGAGCACGGTACGTTGACTCTCCGTCTCCTGTGTGTCGCTCTCTTGCTTACTGTGTTTGGTGATTAGGTGTCTTTACATAGACGACAGCCCTTTGTTCAATAGAAACTCATGTGCGGACACACACACACACACTGCTGTAGTCACAGGGGTATAAGCTGACTGAATCAAATAATTACGTCTGGCCAAATAAGCCAGTGCCATCTAATCCAGGTGGAAAATGACTCCAATCACTGGGCAAGGATTAGTAGTCAGCAACCTCCTTTAATTTCAGCACAATTAAAAGCGACTTTGACTCTCCTTCTCTTCATCCCTAACCACCTTAAAGGATTTACTGGTTGCATGTGTCCCCTACCTGGCTCTTTACATCCCCTCTTATCTACCTGTCTCCTTTTCTTTTGCTAATTCTATTATTTTTCTGCTCTGTATTCTTATCTTAGTCATTCATTCCTTTCCAGCGCTTTTTTTGATTCACCCTCCAGTCTCTCGCCGTCACCGTCTCTCTTCCTTCTCATGTTAAGGTCCTTGTTTATTGGGCTAGCTTAAAGCTCTCAGTTAGCCAGAGTGCAACGCTCTGTTGGATCTGCTTGGCCAGATTGAGTTCCCATTGACTGACCATCCTGAATGGACCCACTCATGTCTGAAGGGAACCCAAACTCGTCCTTCTTCTCATGTGGTGACGAGCGGCTGCCAACGCCACCTTACCTGATCTCCCCGCCACAGTCTTCTCCCTCTCTTTTCCAGTTTGCGCACACAGTCTTCCTGTCCTTTTGTGTCAGGTCATCTGATACTGGAGTTGGAGGCAAGTGCAGGGTTATTGAGTCTAAGCAATCCTTGAAAGGCTTCAGACTCAGATACACAGACAGGCTGCAGTAGATTTTTATCGGTCTATCTTTGCACCAAACCAGATTAAAACTCTTCCACAACAGCAGCTGAACCTGAGGAGGAGGCCAAAAGCTGCTTGGTTAGCGTAAATGGTTGGGCAACTGTAGTGGAAGTGTATGCTATTAACTCCTCCAGCACACTTTTTTTCCTCACACTCTCCTCAATTTAGGAGGTTTTTATCTCACTAAGTTTTCAAGCTGTTACCTTTCTATGCTGTTCTTTCTTTTTGAGTCAGCCAATATGTCAGAAACCTCCCTACTGCCTCTTTCACCAGGCCTTTCTGTCTCTGATGAAGGCAGGGATTTGTTGAGCTACCTAACAGTGTGGGCTATCTTCAGGGTGTGCTCGCCTACACTTCCTCCCTCCTTCTCCCCCCTGCCTTTCGGCCTGTTTGGCAGTGCCACCCCACCACACCAGCGCCCAGACTACAAAAACCCCGTTTGCAGCTTCTGAGAGAGTGCCAGCCTGTCCGAGCATTCCCACTAGTGGGGAGGACTCATTGCCACACTGCTATGCTCTCATTGCTTGCCAAGTTCCTTTCCTGTTTTGCTCTCTTGTCTGCCTTCATTTTCTTTTCTGTTTTTTTTCTTCCTTTCCCCCTTCATTTTCTCACTCTCTCTTTCTCTGCTGGCAGCACCCTCTTTCACTTTGCTCTCTGGTCCAGGTTCCCTTAGTGGCCTCTTTCTTTGCTTCCTCTTTTAAAAAAAAAATAAAAAAAAATTAGTTCATTTTCATGAATTTCACAGTCAGTGTTTTTTTTTGCTGTGACCTGTCACATTACAGAGATAAGCACACATACAGGAACAGCAGCCTTAGACTTGGTTTTTGTGGTCAGTTTTGTTTTTATTTGCATGTACTTACTGTTAGGCAGTACTGTTATGAATGTGGCTTGCTGAGTTTGAGTTGGTAGTGTGTTTCTGGCTTTCTTGTGTGTGTGCATGCTTCAATTTTTTTTCCTCTTTGCCTCTGCTCAATTGTCTTTCATCACCTTGTGTACCAGTCTCCCATTGGTGTTCTCTGTGTTTATGCGTTAGCTGTTTCCTCAGTCTAGGATTGTTGTCCAGTTAGCTTTGCACCCAATAGTGTTACTGGTCTGACAAAGGAAAGGGCACTAGAGTCCTCTCTGGGTGAAAACGCACTGCTCGGTAGCATGCGCCTCTCATCAAGGTTTGTCACCTGCTGCATTTAAACTACAAAACAGTGACTTTGCTGAAGGGCACAATCTGGCAGAAAAGAGTTTGCTGTACATCACAGGCTCCACTCAACCGATAACTCCAATCATTTGCAATATTGGGTTGCCAAGACAGCAGCTTAAAGTGCTGCAAGATGAGTTTGTTTCAGAGATTTGTTAAAATGCAATTCTACATAATGCAACACACCGTAATGTCCTCATAGCTCTCTAAGCACATATAGTTCAGGATATTTATTGTTTTAAAGAGACTAAAAGGGAACAGGAGACTGATGTGGTCTGTCTGCATGTTCTTGTTGGCAGAATAACTCAGTTTCGCCATCAGACAGCCTGCGGGCAGCAAGCGAGAAGCACCGCAGCTCATCAGACTATGGTCTCGAGTCCAAGAAACGCAAAGTGGACGACAAAGACAGCATGAGCAGATATGTGAGTGTTTGTTTACTTTCCGTCCAAATAATACAAAAATAATGATGTTTGTAGCCTGTTTCGTTTCAAAATTTACCTTTCAATTGCTAATTGCTGTTTTCCTGGAAGGGTATACCTGAGTTTATTCAGTTAGCTTAGTAATGAAACTTACTTAACACTAAATGCAAAGTTTATTATGTGCATACTGTTTCTATCCACAGACTTATCTTCATATTAGTTAAAATTAATGCCAGGTTGCAAAGTTCTCCCAAAGACACTTCATTGAAAATGTAAATATTAGAAACTGTGGCAAAGTGTTACATTTAGCATTTTGATCTTCTCTCTGTGTGCAGCAAATAATCCTGTAGCTCATTCATTCTCAGTCTTCACATCTGGTCTGGTCAAAAATGTGGACCGCTTTGGTTTATGCTGTAATTTTAGCTGTCCCAGTGAGCTAACTCGTTACTCCGTCATTTCAGGACAGTGATGGAGACAAAAGTGATGACTTGGTGGTGGATGTATCCAATGAGGTAAGACTGCAATTAAACGGAGCTGCTCAGTCACATTTTTCAGTGTGAAGGCTGCACACAAAACTAAACACAGCTCTCTTTTGTCTGCCGAAGCCTCAACACCTTTCCACATTGCCAAAAAGTCTGTCAAAATATTGGTTGTGTGCGATGAGTGTGTGTTTACTTGCTGTATTTCTTTTGCCACTCATGCAGAAAGTGCGACAAAGAATACAAAGAAAAAGGGGGTGACAGGTGAATGAGAAGTGCGTGCATGTGTGTGTGAGAAGGAGAATGTGAACGTGCATGAGTATATTTATCTGTGTTTGCACATGAGGCCCCGGTTTGTTTGACCTACATGTACATGCCAGTGGCTTTCCTCCAGTCTGTTTGCTCAGTCTCGCTCTCTGTCTGTCTCATTTAACTCTCTAGGATCCGGCCACCCCTCGAGTTAGCCCCGCTCACTCCCCTCCTGAAAACGGGCTGGATAAATCACGAGTCCTGAAGAAAGATGCTGCCCCCAACAGCCCCGCCTCTGTCGCCTCTTCAGGCAGCACGCCGTCCTCTAAAGCTAAGGACCACGCCCATGTGAGTGTCAGGGACACGCTGCAAGACTAGAGAGAAGCTGAAATAAGGAGGTTACAGCGGAAGGGCAGGGGAGGCTGAACTGACACGCTAAAGAGCATTTGTCAAGTGAAGTGGATGTCTGTGTGAAAGACTAATACGCAGGCTTAGCAGTTAGCTGCTATGCGGGGCTTGCGAGGGCAGAGGGTAGATGCACTCTCAGGAAATCAAACCCTATGGCTCAGCCCTCTCAATCTCCTTTATGGCTTACCCAATAAATGGTCATTTCTCCCTCGGCCTCAGGCTGTAAATAACCCAGAGACACAGCAGCGGGGGAACTGCTGTCTCTGTCTTTTTATGCTGCAACTCATCTTCTCTCCTTCCAACTCCCACTTTCTCTAATACTGAAGTGTTCACTGACACGGCTATGTTAGTGAAATGTTTTTTGTAAAGCTAAGGATTAGGATAGCTTTATAATCCACATCATCTCTCTCCACCTATAATGTCACTAGGCTAAACCCCCACTTCTTCAGCCTCCCATTTGCCAAACATTGAAGGATTTGGATTAATTATAAGAGGTGTTTGGGACATCATCTTGAATGTCTAGCCACTCCTAATAAGCTTGACTTCTAAGCAAAGGTTTATATCCGTACCCCCAAACACACAAACACACACCATGGCTGTAATGGAAGTGTCAGTGTTAGATTGGATTACCTCAAGCCGTCCACTCAGATTGTCACTCTGGATTTTCCTGCCAGTGAGGGTATTTTTGACTCTGTGGGGGATTTTGAACTCTGGTATGGATGCTGTTTGTGTGCCCATGTGTACGTGCATGCACATGTGAACTTACAACTTTCAGTAATAGGATCCAAATCACACTGAGGTGAAAAGTTGAAGACTATCTCTGTTTTTTAGAATGACAAGTCATCTACGCCAAGCTTGAAGTCAAACACGCCTACACCGAGGAACGAGGCGCCGACACCTGGAACAAGCACCACTCCAGGACTGCGGCCTCTAACTATGGGCAAACCGTCCGGCATGATGGAGGCATTGGGTGAGTATCTGCAAGATACTGTTTTTTGTTTTGTTTTGTTTGTTTTTTTTCTGGGAGGGGGCGGGGGGGGGTGTTTCTGTATTCAAATCATCCATATATCACATCCAGTCATACAGGCCCACAGACAAGCCAGCACCGACTGGGTGTTAGGAAAAATGTGTAGTTCCCAGCACCAACCACCATAACAACTAAGAATTTGAATTTCAACTGAATTTGACTGGGGTCTTATTGGACCAAGGGGGAAAAAAAAATCTCCTTCACATTTAAAGTTCATTTTAAAATTTGACAAAAACACCTCACGCAAAGCTGCTCCCAATTCCTAACCCCCTAACCATGTAATGCAATTTTCAATGCAACCCTGCGCTCACTGTAACCAGTCATTGTTTGACGCCTAACAGAATGAATGATTCTTTCTTCTATGAGGTTTTTACAAATCGTTTTTTTTGTTTGTTTGTTTTTTCTCTCCGTCAGCCGCACCAGCCCTGCGTACCCCCCTGTCCATCGCCGGTTCTTATGCTACTCCCTTTGCCATGATGGGTCATCACGAGATGAACGGATCCCTGACGAGTCCTGGCGTGTATCCGGGTCTCATTTCCCCACAGATGAGTGCTGCAGCCGCCGCCGCCTACGGACGCTCGCCAATTGTAACTATTCCAGCTTCTATAAAGCATTTATTAGTGAAAATGAGGATTTATCACACACATCTGAATAAATAATGATTTGCGCGTTAGATAACGCCAGCCCTCGCGAACAGCTGTATTTATTATCCGCCGCTACAGTAGGTTGTGTTTGCAAAATGACTTTGAGAAACTTGAGTATTCCTTCTGCATTTCCATAACTCATTGTGAATATTTCTGCTTGGCTGGCTGCAACTTGTTGTGTGTACATAATGAGAAAGTAGAAAGACGGCCCAGCTCCTTTACTTTGATGTTGGCTAGTTAGCATTCTAAAGACTAGAGAAAAATAAATAAATCTTGGCCTCAAATGTATCTCCATGTTTGAAAATCTCTCAGGCCTTCATTAGCATTAGCATGTGGGATGTTATAGCCTTGTGCAAAGCTCCTCTGTATGCAGTGAAGCTCAGTCTGTGCCTTTCAAGGGATTTGCCTGGAAACAATGGTACAAGGGTTCCCCTAGGCGTAAGCACCTAAAGCAAGGCTGCAATCTGAATGTTAGCTTAGCCTGATTTATCTTTGCAGGTTGTTTGCTAACTGTTCCGCCGTTTTGCTCATGCAGGCGGGCTTCGACCCACATCCTCACATGAGAGCCTCTGGGCTGCCAGCCAGCCTCACTTCCATTTCTGGAGGAAAACCGTGAGTATTTAATTTTTCTTTCTTACTTACAACCAAAAGGTTTTGTGTTTAAACTAGATTTGCACTTAATGGATTGTTTGAACTTCTGATGAGCTTTTCCATTCCTCTCTGTTCTGCAGAGCCTATTCTTTTCACGTAAGTGCAGATGGTCAGATGCAGCCCGTGCCCTTCCCTCCAGATGCACTGATAGGACCAGGCATCCCACGGCACGCTCGCCAGATCAACACACTCAGCCACGGGGAAGTGGTGTGCGCCGTCACCATCAGCAATCCCACACGTCACGTCTACACCGGCGGCAAGGGTTGTGTCAAGATCTGGGACATCAGCCAGCCTGGCAGCAAGAGCCCAGTGTCCCAACTCGACTGCCTGGTAACTTTGTTATTTCGTTAGAAGTCTCAGGAGGAGAAAGTGTGAAATGTGATTTAGATGCGTGCCATTAGACTAGCTGTTGTAAGGCTTCCAACCAGAGCACAGACATAATGCATTCATGTTTTATGAAGTCTGTGTGATTGGTCACTTCATTAAGAGTTTTCTTAAGCATCAAATGTAGCCTGACCCCACATCCCCCAGTAGCTTTCCTCCTGATCCCAGCAGACACAGATGTGAATAATTCAGCATAGTGTCTCACTGCTGTGCTGAAATAATCCTTGGTAAGGGGAGGGGGAGGGAAAAAAAAGCCTGCTGAGTAATGATGTTCTGATTGGCCAACCCTGTCTGCCATTACCCAGCTCATTACTTCCTCCCAACTGCCTCCCGTTTCTCATTTTGATACCGTGGCTTCATGCAGTTACACTCGTCTGGCCTCCAACACCCTTAAGGTTCGTCCAGAGTGCAATCGGGTCTTATACAGTCATCAGGGTGCTGTTTTAATTCCACCAAGAGCTCCCACGGTCCTATTGATCTGTCTTCTTGCTTTCTCGGAGGCTGGCCAACAGCTGCAGCCCCACGCGTTCTTTCTGCATCTCTTGTTAACGCTGACATCCACATATTCGCTGTATCAGAAACAAGAGTCGGCTACAGTGTGAAAACTTGTCAAAGAAAAGCTGCTTTTGAGTTTAAAAAAAGGAAGCCTTAAATGAATACACTGATGTGCGTCGCTGATGTCTTTGTTTTTCAGCAGAAATGTAACAGTGTCTTCTTCAAATCACTAATTATGCAGATATTTCACATGTAGGAAAAAAAACACAACACACAGATTACATCCAGTCATTAAGATTGGGGCGATACCCTGTCTTTGTTTATGCTCCAGAACAGAGACAATTACATCCGCTCGTGCAAGCTGTTGCCTGATGGCCGCACCCTAATAGTGGGTGGCGAGGCCAGCACACTGACCATCTGGGACCTGGCCTCACAGACGCCCCGCATAAAGGCTGAGCTCACTTCCTCTGCCCCAGCTTGCTACGCACTGGCTATCAGCCCTGACGCCAAGGTCTGCTTTTCCTGCTGCTCCGATGGAAACATCGCTGTGTGGGACCTCCATAACCAGACCCTGGTCAGGTCAGTGCTTTGGAGCAGGGGATTTGTTTTAAACACTGCATTTAACAAAACGGCCAAACGTCAACATAAGACACCTGCATGGAGAACTTTCTTTGTTCCTGGTCTAAGTTTTGGCATCTTGTTGTTCCAGGCAGTTCCAGGGCCACACGGATGGAGCCAGCTGTATCGACATCTCCCACGACGGGACCAAACTGTGGACCGGAGGACTCGATAACACGGTCCGCTCCTGGGATTTGAGGGAAGGACGACAGCTCCAGCAGCATGACTTTACCTCACAGGTAACAAAAAGTGGGGAAAAAATGTTTCTGTTCATCCAGTTATAGTACTGAGTAACCTTTCTGACATGTCTTAGGCATTCAGTTTAGAAGTAGCAGTTAAGGGTTGTTTTAATGATTCTGGTTGGGGGGATTCTTGGCTGCTTTGATGTTGTTGCTGATCCTGCTCTGTGCTTGTTGCAGATCTTCTCATTGGGCTACTGTCCCACTGGGGAATGGCTGGCTGTGGGTATGGAGAGCAGCAATGTGGAGGTGCTCCACCACACCAAGCCTGACAAGTACCAGCTGCACCTGCACGAAAGCTGCGTTCTTTCACTCAAGTTCGCCTACTGTGGTAAGTACCAGAGGAAGAGCTGCGTTTATATATTACAGACCTGTGAGCAAGAAAGTTTCATTTCACTTTTATCTGGCAATTATAGTGTAATTGAGTGGTGCCAGATTTTGGCATGAATCCTATACTCCCACACGAAGGACGGCACTACCAAATGAGGGATGTACATGAAGTTGTGTGGTACTCGAGCTGATGACAACAATGCTTCACTACGTGTAACAGAACCTGCAAGCAAGGCAAACAGACATGATGATAGTGAAATGTTATGATTGTGCTACAAACAAAAGCTAATCATGCGGTGACTATACTTGTCTTGGCTTATAGTGGACGTGTACTCTCTAACATAAGTACCTGTAGAGCCGCAAGTGTTGTCATAGCAGCAAAGAGGATGAGTAATACCAATGAGCTGCGCTCTCCATCCTTTCTCTTAATGGCTTATCCAGTTAAGGGTCACGTTGGCATGGAGTCTGTCTCAGCTGTCATAGATCCACTTTAGAAATGACCTAGCGTGCATGACTTTGGACAGCACGCAAGCACCACAAAGAAAAGGCAACTGTTGGATTCAAACCGCAAACTTCCTTTCTTCAAGTGGACAGTTTTCACCACTGAACCATCATGGCACCCAAACAGAGCCAGTGCATTTATATGAAAAAAAAAAAAAAAAAAGGAACTGGCTTGTTTTTTGTACAAAAATATGTTAAGCTATTGTAATTTTTTTGTGTGTGTGGCAGGTATCACATACCTGTCAATGAGAAGATGTGGTCTAGATTGATTCTGCATTCACAATGAGCAACCATTGCTGATAACGGGGTTTTGGTACCAACAACCAGAATTATATAAAGAAAAGAAAAAAGTCAACTTGGGAATGCTTGCTTTAGCATGTATTAGCAATGTTAAGAAAACATAACTGAAAAGTTAAACAAATGCATAAAATGTGAAATATTTAGAGACGCTTGGTGGTTAGTCTGCTACTCTATAGGTTTTTTTGGGGGGTACTGGTGAGAGAATTTGGACTCCTGACCTAACATCCCACTTACTGGCCGCCTGTTAAATGTGGTGAACATGGATTTTTCCGGATCTTTAACTTGTCTCGACAGCCACTTGGGCTCGAAACCACATCTTTACACACTGCCTGGCCAGGATTTTGCAGTCTCTGCAGCTGGTTACTACTTAAAGTCTCTGTACTATAAAAACAAACAGGACCACCATTTGTGTAAATCCAGAAATGACTGAATGTGATTAAAGTGCTGTTTGTTTGCTTTCCAGAATATTTTTATGAACTCTTAATGAGTGCAGCTTATTTGTAAAAAATTGAAATGTGACACTTATGCAGCTCACATGACTGAGTCTGAATTTCAGGGGGTGAGGACTGTACGCGTGAACATGGGAGAAGTTACTTTACAAACAGGATCATTAGGGAAATTTGTTAATGCTTTTTAGCGAGGATCACTGTGCCTGTTAGGCAGACCAGCTGGTTTCCAGTTTGAGGCTGAGACAAATGAGGTTTTACTGCTGCACTTCTCCTAGAAATGTCCATATTCATTTAGTCTCCGAAGACCCCCCACAGCACCGTCTCATATCTCTGTCGCCACAGAACTAGTTCATTCAAATAAAGCTCACTGCTTCAGAGCTCGCGCTGTCACTAATTAAATCATTAGCCAAATAGTCAATTGGGTAATTAATCAGAGGGTGATTAAAATAATTATCTAAGAGGAAGTGGTGCGAGTCTCCTTCATTATGGGCATTTTATGATTGCTGGTGTAGTGGCAATTTTTCCCCTTCAGGTTTTTATGGCCATTGATGATGTTATTACAGTCACGTGTTGGCTGTGTTCTGCACAGCTCTATTGCAGGACTGAAGGACAACAGCGACCGTGTTTGTGTGTGTCTCTCTCAGCACACACACATTGGATTGTACTCTAAAGAGGTGTGTTCTGTGTTTGCAGGTAAATGGTTTGTGAGCACAGGGAAGGACAACCTGCTGAATGCATGGAGGACTCCTTATGGTGCCAGCATATTCCAGGTAACTGGATAACTGCAAATACACAGCTCCAGTCGAAGGTTTGGACATGAAGGAGCGAGTGTGTCCAAACTTTTTAACTGGAGCTGCAGTGCAAAGAGAGGCCGATGGGTCCTAGAATAATTTTGGCTGGAAAAATGGCTAAATTCAGATTGTTTTAATCTCACACTGCACTTGTATACAACTCATTAGTTTTGTTTCTTAATTTTAAAATGCAAGCCGAGGCTTTTCCAGTTCAGATTTCTGGTTTATATTTTGTCCTTGACCTAATGTGACATCAGCAGATTCTACCTGAAGGACAGTTGGGCAGCTAATTCATGAGTAATCTGACTGAATTAAACAGCTGTGTACCCACATGGTGCTGAACAAATCACATAGTTTTCTCTCCTTGTGGTTAAAATATTGAGTCCAAAACTGAGAACCTGAAAACCGACACAAAAGAAATGATGACTTGGAATACTCAGTGGTAATTCTGTTTTCTTTTCTTTCTACAGTCGAAGGAGTCTTCCTCCGTCCTGAGCTGCGACATCTCAGCAGATGACAAATACATCGTGACAGGATCCGGTGACAAGAAGGCCACCGTCTACGAGGTCATCTACTAGAGAGAAAGAGGCTCGCTCTGCTTCAGCACTTCTACTGAGATTAAAGTTTTCTCCCTGACCAACCGTCTGCGGGCTGCAGATTTCTCAAAGTGTACTCGTGGAAATCAGAGGCGCTGTCGGCCTGAGGATGCTTGTACTGGAAAGAAATGAACTTTTTTTTTCTTTTTTCGTCCTTTTGTCTTTGGGTTTATTTTTGGGTTGCACTTTTTTTTTTTTTCTTCTTTTTTTTTCTTTCCTCAAGAATATTTGGATGTAACCTGGTGAAGCAGCGCTTCATTGTGAGAAACTCCTTCCCCAGACATCTTGTGCAAAGTGTACATATTGGAATAAATAAGACATTTTATATATATTATAAAAATATATATATTTTCATGTCCTGGGTGTACTTGTGGTGATTTTTTTTTCTCCCCCTCCCACTCTGTTTGATATTTGAGTGGGACATGAGAACTTTTTAACAGTTTTGCGCTTTGTTTTTCTTAAAGCACATTCTGCAGGCTGATCTTTTTTTGGAAATCAGAGGAGCACCAAACTTGTAGATTTTTTTTTTTTTTTTAAAAATGGCCTTTTTGTCACAGTGCTCTTACCGGACAAAAAAATCACGGTTTCTGTGTGAGATGGAGCTTCGGCTGCTTTGGACTACTGTGGGATCGAACGGTGCACTATGATTCGTGAAAAGACATGGATGTAAATTTCATTCATATATATATAGAAATTCTTTTTAAAGTGTACTAAGTGTACTGCTCTGTCTGTGCTATCTCTCCCCTGTTTGTTTTACCTTGTTAGTTTAAGGGAGATGGGGAAACATTTAAGCTTAGCCTAACCCTTGGACCTCAGTTGGCAGCAGAAGCACAGCGACAGGCACAAACTGAATGACAATGTGCTTTTTGCTAACTTGACGTAATGTGGATGTTGAATTGCTCCATTGATTTCCTGGCTACAGACCAAACTCAAACAGTCCAATCTGTGCTATTGGAATTACTCTGCCCTTTGTATCTTATCAATATTCCTGGAACGTGTTTGTTTGGCTGTGACGGGGAGACAGGCAGACATTTGACCCGACTGACTGCGCAGATCGGTCCGTCTCTACAGACGTGCTCGATGCCTGTAGATGCTTGTTAATAATAAAAAGAAGAAGAATGAGGAGGTGGTAATGGCACTTAAATATAAACAACAGAAAAACTCAAGTTAGTGAATCAAGGTGGTGTAAAATCCAAACTGTGCTCCTGGTTCTTGTCAGCATTTCCCACAAGAAAGTATGAATGGGGTGAAATGCACCAGTCCCCTCTGAGTAACACCAAAGTATGTAGCAAATGCTGTCGGCACTGAAAAGAAATGTACAGTTGTTAATAAAATCAATAAAACTGTTTTTCTAGACTGGCCCATTTCATATTGTTTTACCCAACGGTGTTCATCAGGTGTTCCCGACAAGCACCCGTGCGTTGCGAAGGACTGCTCTGACACACAAGCCAGCATCGCGGGGATGGATCTTTAAAGGAATGCTTTGACATTTTGGGGAATTCTGCTTCCTGACAGCACTCTTACATAAATATGTTACAACCCGCAGACTGTTAGCTTAGCAAGCTGAGTGTAAACAGGGAAACGGCGTAGCTCTGATCAAAGGTAACTCTGTACGCTTTGTTTGCTTTACCTGTACAAAAGGCCAAGTTTAAGAACAACTCGCGTGGATTGTGGTTTTCATGGAGGTCTGTAGGCTGAAGGTTACTTTTCTCACTGGGACTTTGTGGAGTCTTATTAGCTTTTAAAGTTGTGTTCAGCCGAAAATGATCCTTCCAGAAAACACTAGCATGTTATTTTTACATTTAAGAAAAAAAAACATTTTAAACTGATTTCTAAAGTTTTAGATTTGGTAAAATAATCTTTGGCTACTTTTGGGATCTTTTTTTTTTCTAGACCTTTTTTCCCTGTCAGTATGTAGTGGGAAAGGACTACCAAGCCGTCATTATAATTATTATATTATTCTGGCATCTTTAAGCTCAGGCTTAAAGTTAACCCGTGTCTAATAGTAATTCTAATGATACAGTCCAACCACAAGTTCAAATCATGGAAGTGGATAATAAGAATACTGCTTCCCTTTTTCATGTTCAAAAATTACTTCTTAGGCATCAAACCTGACGTGAATAGATGAAAATCACAAAATATGTTAATGTTTCAAACCCAGTTTTCATTTGATTCAGCTGATTACTGCCCTCTTTTTTTAACATTCAGACTAAGGTGGTTAGAAGTATAAATAATAATAAAGGGGCATATTGACTTACTGAATGCAAATGATATAGCAGCTAGCAACATAATCTAAAGTATAACAAAAATGTTATTTAATCTGATTACTGCAAAATCCAAACTTGAAAAGACTACATGTTATGCTATATGTTTCTTCTTTGAACACTCTGTCAGTGCAAACAAAAATGCTTTTTTGATATTCAGCACTGAAACAAATGAGACAAACCTTCAGCACAGCACAAGCTCATGCCACCTACAGAAATACTGACACGGTTCTGCAGTTGTTGGATGTATTGGTGTGGGGCTGGAGGAGGACGCTACACCAGCGGATGATTTTTGTGGAGTGCTCTGGAAACAATCTTCTATGTTTGAATGTAAATGAGACCAGTTAGATGACGATCAACTTTAGATGTAAGAGGACAGCTACATGGTCAGGATGTTGATGTGGCGGAGAAGCACAAGTCTAGGAGCACCAACATCAACAACAGGCTGAACTGGAAGCCCAGCAACGAGGCTGTATACTAGAAGGGGAAGAGCATTTCATACTTCCTAAGGATGCTGAAACCGTTGAACGTGCATCAAAATGATGGGGGGTGCTTTGCTGCGGTCTCCTGGGAGGGCAGCATGGGAGCTGGTGACACCCAGCAAATGGGATAAACTGATCGGGAAGGCTGGCTCTGTGATTTGCTGCACACTGGATACTTTTGAAGCAGTGATGGAGAGGAGGTCACTAAACAAGCAGATAATCCTCTGCACCGCTTACTGGACAGGCAGCAGAGCACCTTCTCTAACACACTGATGGAGCTGTGCAGCCATGACGACAGATACAGGACAGCTTTCATATCACATCAGTTATCTGTTTTTGTATTTTTTTAAGATTCGGTTGCCATCTGAAATTCTGCAATGCTTTCCTGATTTTAAAATATACCACTTGTTATATATTATTATGATTTTACTTTAAGGCAAAGGATAAAGAAACGCCTCAAATTTTTCTTTGCTGTCAGGAAAAACAGTTGACGTTGCTCATTAATCATCGGCTAATAGAAACAGCTCGGTTGTTCTTCTTCCGCGCTGTGCAAAGAAAAAATCAGAAGTACATACGTTTATAGAGATGTGCAGTGATTACTGCAGGTGTAATTTTTGCTCACAGAAACAGTTCAGTGTCGGCTGTTCCTTTGAATATGATTGTCGACGCACACTTTGATATGAAACGGTGGAGTGCGGTGGAGCGAGGACTTGTGAACTGAAGCAAAGGGCGTGGGAGAGACAGAGACGGTTGTTGTGACTTAATGGCTTTGTTTCCAGACAGGATGGTTTGTGGTTTCGGGCCTGCTGACAGGAGTAATGGTGGGAGGGATGAGACATGGAGCTTTGGATCAGTGTGGCTCACCAAACCACACACATGCACAGACATGCACGTACACGCACGGGTAGAGAGTGACTACTCGGTGGCTTCACATGAATCACACAGCCAGCTGAGACACATTCAGTTGCACTCGCATTTCACACACTCCCACACACACACACACACCTAAGAAAAAGACAAGCTACTCTGGGAATTTGTGGCTTTGTGCTGATATCTGAAATGATTGTTGGGCAGCATTTCTGGATAAAATGTCTCACAAATGAATATCACGCAAACACCAACAGCTATATAGACTGTCAAACTGCAACTTTTCTCTTTTTTTTTTCATTACGCATTTTTGTCAAGTACAGGCCACAGGAGATGATTCATGATACATACTATTAATGTCAGCATCTGAATCCTGTTGTACTGACTCACTGCCATGAACACTTGCCATGTCTTTTCTTTTTCTCCTCTCTTTCTTCCTCTCCCACTCTCTTGTTCTGCTCCCACCACAGGTGGCGAGTACATTCATTTTCACTTTTGTGGGGGTGCTGGCTGTAAGGCTGTGATTTCTGACTGTGCATGTGAGAGAAGGGGGAGACGGGGTGCTTAGGGATGCAATATGGGGTGATTTTAGCTGCGCGTGTGGGCTGAAGGCGCTGTGCATATGGCTGAGCTCATGCATACATGGACATATTTTGTACAGATACTTCCACATCAATTACTAGCTCAAGGACCTGAAGCTAACCTCGCGTAACCTTCTGCATAATATGAAAAGTGACGGTCTTTGGCAGTATTTTGTGCAATCTGTAAATGTTACATTAATTGCTGGGTGTAACACACACATGCTGGGAGGTAGGTGAGGATTGTGGACTGTCATGGCTGTAGCTGGCAACATCATTTACATTCAGCATCTCTTTTGTGGTTTAGTTGTGGCAACTGGAGGGTTTTCCTGCAGTTGAGGGTGCAGTTGCCACAAATGGCTGCAATTAGTGAAAATCTATTGCTCCACTGTGAGTGATGTTCAGTGAAAGCTTTTCTCTAAGCAAGGTTTATCATCAAGCTAGTGGAGTTTATTATCATGAAAAGTAAATTTTTTCCTGTTAGTTTTTCACAATAAAAGGATCCCACTTGCTCACCAATGGAAATATGAAGCTCAGTTAGGCTGAAGTGACTGATAAAACCCCTCACAATTAAACAACTGCTCACACACTCTCAAATATTTAATTTTCATTTCTAGAAAGAGCTCTGACTCCTACACATAAGCATAAATGTCCAAAAAGCAGATAATTTAAGGCAAGTGAAATTCCCCCTAAAAATGAAACAAACAAAAAACATTGTGATAGACAACTTAAAGGTCAAGATGAGTATTTACAGAGCTGATTTAAATGTGTGCACGTCACATATTTTAAGCATATTTAGAGCCACATATCATCAGCATAGAATGACGAGAGGGAAGAGAATGGGGCCTAGAATGCAGCCTTGGGGTACACCACAGAGAACTGAAATGACAACTAAAATCAGTTTGTTGCAATTGAGAAATTAACAACACTACTACGCAATTAAAAAGTAAAGGAACAGCTTTAATTAAGACGATGTGATTACTGTCCATATTTAATACTAAATATGGGCAATCGTGGCTCCAAGAGTTGGCAGTTTGTCCTGTAATCGGAAGGTTGCCGGTTCGAGCCCCGGCTCGGACAGTCTCGGTCGTTGTGTCCTTGGGCAAGACACTTCACCTACCGCCTACTGGTGTTGGCCAAAGGGGCCGATGGCGCGATATGGCAGCCTCGCTTCTGTCAGTCTGCCCCAGGGCAGCTGTGGCTACAACTGTAGCTTGCCTCCACCAGTGTGTGAATGTGAGAGTGAATAAATAGTGGAATTTTAAAGCGCTTTGAGGGCCCCGAAAAGCACTATATAAATGCAATCCATTATTATTATTATTATTATTATTATTATTATTATTATTATTATTATTATTATTATTATTAAAGGAATTCTTGCTCTTATACTGACACAGAAAAGCAGTGCAACAAGCTGTGAGAGTATAAGATCCTCCATGTCCAAAGCATGGATGGGCAATTTATTTTCCCAAGGGGTCATATGGCAAACTAGGACTGTTGAGGAGGGCCGCATAAGCTTATTGGCATGGCGCTCCACAACAGTCCTAGTTTGCCATGTGACCCCTTAAGAAAATTAACTCCCGAGCCTTGATCTAAAGTTTCAGATTTTTGATGAGAATGAGTTTGCAGAAGGATGCTCACTAACCCTCCTTCCTGCCCACGATCTTCGATTAGCGGCCTGTTCTGCACCAAATGTAAAGAGAGGCACACTGAATCAAATAGAAATAATTTCTCATGATCGGGGTCTAGTATCCACATAATGTATCCACACACAGGTCCAGTCAACCTTCACTTAGATATTTTTTTAACCTCGACATCCATCCTAGTGTGATTTCATTAGCTGTTTTATTTCAGAGATGTATGAGAAATGAGAACAGCCTAGATGTCATTTCATATTTCTGTTTTTCTTTACATTTTGTTGTCGGCATAAATTTCGATATCTTACCTAAAAAAAAAATCCATTAAAGACTTTTTCTCTCAATTCATAAAAAAAAGACTTCCCTTCAATCTGTGCTAAAAGCTGACTGTGCGCCAGTAAAGGCTTCTAACCACTCTGAAAGGCTCTGCCTGATGCAAGGTGTTTTGTTCTCTTGACAGTCGAGAGCTTTTCCTGTGAAGGAGAACTGATGCAGGTTGCTCTGCCTCTCTCCTCCCCATTTCTCTCC